CATGCCCACCAGCAGCCCCCCCGTCCACCCCACCGCGACCGTCACTCTGGCTCCGTCATCTCCAACGGCCACCCCCACACCACAGTGACCGCTCCCGCTGGCTTCCCCAGCGGGATGTGTCTGGCTTTACCAGGAGCGGAGAGTCAAGCGTCCTGTGGCCAGTTCTAGAGCCCTCTAAGGGACTGCTGTGCCCTCTGGGTGCTGCCCGAGGCTCAGCGCCCTGGCTGCAGGGAGGAGAAGCCTCTCGGGCTTTGGAGTCCCTGGACTTGAGCATCCGAGCCTCAGCTTATCCCGGGCAGGAATAAAACCCCGTCACAGGTGTTCCGTGAGGCCAGGAAAGGTGAGGCTCAACGAGGTGTCCATCCGGGACCTGGAGAGGCGGCCTCCATGCGCCCCGGGGGTCCCAGAGCACACCGGGTGTGCTGATGCGAGTCAGAGGTCCACTGAGGTCCCAGACCCTCTTCGGGCACGGCGCCCCCGAGAAAGCAGGAGGGCAGCAGGCGCGCGCTCGCGCCCCAAGAGCCTGGGCCCTCCCCACGGATGCCAACGGGGTCCCCTTTTGAGCTGCGCCTCAGAACTAATCCTCGCGGGCTCTCAGGAGGAGTACTGGACCCGAATCATCTTGTGAGAAGCGTTTTGATTTTTCCGTCTGGCGGTGCCAAAATGTCTTTCAACAAAAGGGGTGACTAATAAACATTTCTGGGAACGAATAATTTTTCCAAGAACTGGGAAAAGCAAGATGATCTCACCTTTCAGAATGTGAGCTGTCTGTCCACCACCCCCCACCCCTGCCCCGAGCCTCTTTCCACTTCTGCGCCCAACGCCTTTCTCCCTCTGCCTGGGAGCCTTGCTTTGCCCCGTGAGCACCGGCTACTGGGGCTCCCTCCTCCAGGAAGCCCTCTCGGAGTACGGGCCGTGCCCCGCGGATGCCGACCTCAGGCTGGACGCTGCCTGCACGGCCACCTTCCACGCTCTCATCTATGTGACCGTCTCCCCTCCTCCAGGGCTGAGCCTCCATCTCCTCCCTATCTGTGGACTCAGTGCCCAGGACACGACGGGGCACACAGCAGGCGCTCAGTGGGTGTGCAAAGGGGTTGGCTGAGGGTTGGGGGCAGGACTTCCCGGGCTGCGGTGAACGCGTGGACACACGCACGCACTCACACACTGGTCACACATGCACACACATGCACACACAAAGCACACCCACATGCTGTCACACATTTACACTCGCATGTGCACACTCGTACATGCCACTCACAAGCATGTGTGCACACCACCGTGCGTGCTCACATGAGCGTATCTACACACGCTATCACATACACTCACATAGACACACATGTGCACATACTGGAATACACACCCAGTGCTCATATAGGTCATACTTGCACACCCACACAGTCACACTTGTGCACACACAAGCACATTCACAGAGGCCCACTCACATGTGCCCACCCACCTGCACAGGCACACATGCACACATAGGAACACACACACACATGCTCACACACTGTCAAGCACGCCTACACTTGCACACCCACACAGTCACACTTGTGCACACACAAGCACATTCACAGAGGCCCACTCACATGTGCCCACCCACCTGCACAGGCACACATGCACACATAGGAACACACACACACATGCTCACACACTGTCAAGCACGCCTACACTTGCACACCCACACAGTCACACTCGTGTGCACTCACAGGAGCCCACTCATACACACATGCCCACACACCTGCACGAGTATACATGCACACTCACAGCCACACAAGCACTGCTGACGCACATGCACAATCACACATGTGCACACACGTGCACCCACATACACACCCTCACACAAGCACACTCGCACATGTCATCACACACGTACTCACGTGTACAGTGGCATGCTTTCACATACACTCGTGTGCTCACATACCTGCACCACACATGCACACTGACGTGTGCTCACACAAGCACACACACATTCACACACTATCACATAAGCACAGCCACAGATGTTATCACACACACACATACACTCACAGAAACACACGCACATGCTCACATATTGTCACATGAGCACACCTATATTTGCACACCCACACACTGTCACACACTCGTGCACACTCACAGGAGCCCACTCGTGCACATGCCCACATAATGTCACATACTGAGTACACTGGCACACACACATGCTGTCACACACTCTCATGCCCACACACTCATGCACACGCACACATGCACACACGAGCATACAGTCACAAGCACATCTGCACATGGGCACCCTCACGTGCACATGAACATGCTGTCACACGTACACTCACACATGGTGTCACACGAACACACATGCACTGGCACACTCACACATGCTATCAATGTCACACAAGTACTCACACGTGCTTTCACAATCATAGTGCACACTCACGCAGTCACACGTGCATACACGCGGTGTCACACGAGCACACTCACACAAAGGCCCGCCCCCGCCAGGCGTGGGAGCCCGAGGACCCGGCAGAGATGCTTTGACACCGGACGATACCGGAAACTGTCTTCTGCGAACCGCGTCCCTCACTGAGCCGCTCGCTGAGCCGCTCGCGTTCTCAAGCGTCTGCAGGGTGAGCCGGACCCCCCAGAGGGCGACAGAGGGCTGGGGCGGCCCCAGGAGAGCTCGGCGGGGGTGACCGCGTCACCGCGCACCCCTGCCCCAAGGACACGGTGCCTGGCGCGGTGTCGTGATCTGGTCTCTCCTCGAAGGGCGTCACATCCCCTTGGTGACACGGGCACTGGACACACTTGGAGCCTGAAGCCCAGGCCGCCGAGACGCCTGTCAAAGCCCCACAGCGAGTCAGGGCCCCGGGCCCCGGGCCGGTGGCCCCTTCCCTGCAGACGGTGCCCCCTTCCCTGCTGTGGGCTCTGTCCGGATGCGACCTTCTTGCCTTGCGTGGCGCCCACCCCAGCCCTACCCACGCGGGGTCCCCTAGTGTCAGGAACGTGCCCAAGGCGACTCGGGGCAGGACAGCACACTCCGGACCGGCCCCTGGTCATTTCTCACGGCCCTGCCCCCCAGCCTTCCGCCCGCCGCCCGGGTCAGCGGGGCCCCGGATCCATGACCTCTGGCACGAAGAAGGGGGTCTGCGGCCTGCTGGTCCCCCGGCGGGGGCGGCCAGCCCAAGGTACTAATTAGCAGCTTCTGGAACACCCCGTGCACTGGCCGGAGGCGAAGGAAACTTTTCTAATTGGCTCCCTGCCGGGTGTCAGAGAGCAGAGAAGACGACCGCGCCTTCCCCGTCCTCCTGGAGCTGGGCCGCTGTGCCGCCCGTCCCGGCCGGGTCCCTCCTGCCCCTCGTGCCCGTGGGCTGGCCCGGGTCCGCCCCAGGTAGGGCAGGGCGCCCCCACTCGCACCTTATCCGGGGGTCCCCGGCCCCCGCAGAATACGGGGAAGATTCTCCACAAAGTCTTTTTTTTCTTTTTTAATGTTTTTTATTTATTTCTGAGAGAGACGGCGTGAGCAGGGGAGGGGCAGAGAGAGAGGGAGACACAGAATCCGAAGGAAGCTCCAGGCTCCGAGCTGTCAGCACAGAGCCCGACGCGGGGCTCGAACCCACGAACCGTGAGATCATGACCTGAGCCGAAGTCGGACGCTTAACCGACTGAGCCACCCAGACGCCCCGATTCTCTACAAAGTTTTACAATCCAATCACGAGGCCGACCTACCCCTCCTGGCTCTCTGGGCCTGAGGACACAGCCCGTGCTTGTCCCCAAGCCTGGGAACACGACGGAGGCCCTGGGCCTTCCGGCCTCAGCCCTCATCCCTCAGATGACCGCTGGGACGCCAGCAGAGGGAGGATGGGTCTGAGGGGGGGACGCGGCCCAACCTGGGGCCCCTCCTTGCGGCTCAGGGCCCAGCTCCTTTACCTTCAATCCATCTCAAAGTCTGTTATTTTCCGGCGGAAGGCAGAAGTTTCTACAGATATGGTAGAGGAGCTTTGGGGAAGGTACTGTGGGCCCCAGAAGGGTCTGGAAGGGGGATCGCCACGGCCTGATCACTTCTGAGCCAGCCGGCCTGGGGGGAGCGCGACCGGGTCACTGGGATTGTGCTCTGGGCGCCAGCGTGGGGTGTGCGTGTGTGGACACATGTTCACACGGAGGAAAATGAGCAAGGTTTACAAGTTTTCAAAATTCCTTTGGGTTCCCTTGGGCCTCCTTGTTCATTTCATTATGCTAAACCGACCACTGTCCTTATCAAAGAAAAAAACCACAAACTTGCTTTTGATTCAAATGGCTGACCTGGGTAAGACCCAGGATGGGGCGCCTGGGTGGCTCAGTCGGTTAAGTGTCCGACTCTTGATCTCGGCTCAGGTCATGATCTCACGGTTTATGAGTTCAAGCCCTGCATCGGGCTCTCAGCACAGAGCCCACTTGGGATTCTCTCTCCCTCTCTCTCTCTCTCCCTCTCTCTGACCCTGCCCCACTCTCTCTCTCTCAAAATAAATAAATACACATTAAAAAAAAGGAGTATGAGTTTTAAACCCAAGGAGCTCCCACCCCCTTTCCTGAAGAACCTCACTTTGAGCAACGGAGGTAAACTCAAGTTGGAAGCTTGTAGAATGGATGAGTGCATCAAAGACCAGACGGGTAAAGTGACTAGCTGAGGCCACACAGCACTATCCCCACTTCTGCAGGGCAGAGTGAAGACCAGAGGCTAGCCCGGGAATCCCAGCCGCAGGGGGAGCCCCCCCCCCGGACCCCAGATTCTCCTCCCTGCAAAGGAGAGAACCCAGCCCTTGCACTCCGCAGCCCCTCATGCCCCATGACCCCTCACGCCCCTCACCTCCGAGGACCAAAGCGGAAGAGGTGACAAGCTCCTTGGGCGAGGGATCCTGCCAGCCGGGCCCCTGGCCGGTCACAGGGACTCAGCGACCAGCCACACAGCCAGGGCCACCTGTGCCCGAGCCCCACTCCCCGCTGGTCACGTGGCCCAGCCGTCCCCAGCAGACAAGGGGACTCGCACTCACCATAGTCCTTCCTGCAGTACTTTTTCATGTTAATCTTCAGCTTCCCTTTCGAGGCCTTGCAGTAGGAATCACAGTCTGCAGGGGAGGGAACAGACAAAACCTAATTAGGCGGCCTTGAATAGGCTGCGGGCCGAGTCGGGGGCTGGCCGCCCCACATACCCAGGGGCCTGCGATGCCCTCGGGCCGGGCCGAGCCGGGCGGCCATTCAGGGCAGGCCTGGCCTTCTAAAGAGGCGCCTGGACAAAGGGCCCCCGGACAGCCCCCCCCTCCCCCCCACCCCGGGCCTGACGAATCCCTCCTCTGCTGCCTGCAGCCCCCCTCAGCCTCCGTGAGGGACGCGGGGGGCTCTGTATTGTGCCACCCAGGGCTTCTGAGAGCCACACAGATTCCCCCCACCCCGTTCTTAAGACACAACTGGAGCCTGATTAAAGCCGATAGAGGCCTCATTGTCACCCGTGCCCTGGGCCTGTGTCAGGCGCTGGCTTTCATGGCGCGGAGCCTCTGGCTGGGGTCACGCCCCAACAAAAGAGGTCACGGAGGAAATTAGCAGCCCATGAAGCATTAGAAAGCCCCTTTGGTGCCCACTCTACTGGAGTGTGCAAATAGAATGCTCCACGGAGGAGAGTTCAGTTCTAATGGGCCCTACTGCTGAGAGCCAGGGCTGCCGGGCCTGCGTCCACCGGGTATCACTTTGGGGGGCTTCCCAGGGCCGGAGCGCGAACGAGGTGGGATGTGGGGAGCCCTGAGGCCTGCCGCGATTGGGCCTCAGTCCACCCGAAGCAAACCTCCTGCCCGCAATTCCCGCTCTGGCGATGCGATTCCTCTGCCAGATCCGTGTGTGACACCCTCATTAGCGCGATGGCCAGCCCAGCACAGAGGGGCCCAAGAAGTCACTCGGGCCTGCCCTGCACCACCGCCCGACATGCTGGGTCACGCAGCTCTTACAGCCAGTCTTTGATACGTGGGTGATATTCCCATCCTGCGAATAAGAAACCCGGGACCACCCGCCCAGGGCGTCTCGGAGAGCTGGTGCCCAGGCTGGGCCTCGAACTCAGATCTGAGACGCTGCACAATTACCACATGCGGTTATGCCGTGCTGCATCTCCGTGAACCAATGGAGTCCCTAAAATGCGGGCCGTTATGCTCAGAGCTGGGGACGCACAGACCGCTGGTGGGGAAGGGCCCAGCCTGGTCTAGGAGCAGACCCGACGCCGGGCAGTGACAGGCAAGGAGAGGGGGCTACAAAGGCCACACACACACAGGGGTGACCACCCCAGGAGCGGGTGCAGCCCCTCACTCTGCAGACGGGAACACCAAGGTCAAAGTGGGGGTGAGCAATCATTTGGGTGGGGCACAGGACAAAGAGCGGCAAGTCAGGCCTCCAGGTGCATCTGCCCCCCTCCCCCAATCATGGCTTCAACAGACAGAGAGAATATTTGGAGATTTCCTGAAATTTCCCCAGATTTCACTAAAGTCAGCCCCTGGCCCCGTGGGAGGTGGATGCCTCCTTCCAGGTTCTGGAATTCACTGACTGGTGCCTCAGTTGAACTAAAAACAGCTCCATGCCACTGCCCTGGGGACCAGGGGCCTGGCAGCCCCCTGCTGCCTCCTGAGCCAGCTTCCTGGGGCACCAGGTTGGGAAACGGTCTCAGGAAATGGGGGAGAAAAGCCCCTCCTCTTGCCCTGGGGTCTGAGCCCTTGGGCCCACCCACCCGCTGGGATGCCCCGCCCACCTGCCAGGAGGCCCCACCCCCTGCTCCAGAACGCCCCGCCCACACACCAGGACGCCCTGCCCAAGGGCACTGGCGGCTGAAGCGCTGGCTGGCTGGTGACCACAGCAGGGACCTCGGGGACGCAGGGTCTGGGCTGTCCAGAGACGGCAGCCTGCATTCTGTGGCCAAGCCCGAGAGGTCAATGTGAGGTGACAGTGGTCCGAACGCACACATCAGTGGCACCGGCACCACAATGCACTTCACCCGTGGGAACGGCTGCTCTTTCTTGGCCACATCTCTGCCAGCTCAGGGGCAGATGACGCTCACAGGAAAGCCACCACTGCAGCTGAACTCAGGGTGTGCGTAAGTCCCTGTGGTCCTGAGCGAGCTGGCTCGAGTCCCTCCCTGCCCTCCCCACTTAGGGAAGCGAACTGGAAAATGAGCCCGGCTGGGTGACGTTATTCCTGGGGCGGCCTTGAGTCCACTCTCCCCGCTTCCTTGTTATTTTTATGAAGGTCTAACGTCCTTGGCCCACGTCAGGACTTGCATTCCGGTCTGCAGGAAATGCCCCACCCCTGCCTCCCCTGCACCCGGGCCAGACACAACCCCTCCGTCTCAGTCCCGGGGCACACACCCAGGCAGGCTGTGCTAGAACCACCTGAAAGCCAGGAGACCAGGGCTCCTCAGGAAGGTTCCAGAACACCCGCTGCAAGTCAGTCCCGCACCGTGAGGCTGAAGGGAAGGTGGCTGGGCCCTACGACAACCTCCGCTGACATCTTCGGCCCTCGCTCCCTCCTTTCCCTCCTGGTTACATCTACAGCTCATCCTTCCAGAGCCAAGCATCCACCTGGGACAGAAACCGTTTTAGAACGTGTGGCCTGCATATCTGCCTAATGAGACCCTGCTTGACAAGCCTCGGTGGTCCCCGTGATTATCAAGAGTCTGTACCTCAATGACAGCCCCTCAACGTTACCAACAAGGCATGTGGCAGAGCCCTGGGTCCTGACAATCAGCCGCATTTTAGTGACGAGGTGGGCTGTCTGGAAAACCCCTCCTCCTCCTCACGCCCCCGTTCCCTGCCCGGGGCCTCAGGGTGGAATGACCCAGAAGCTTTAAAAAACACTGCCGTCTGGGTCCCACTCCCGAGGTGTTCTGATTTCACTGGTTTAGGGGGCATGTCCTGATTTTTTAAACTTATTTATTTATTTATTTATTTATTTAGAGAGAGCGAGCGAGCAGGGGAGGGGCAGAGAGAGAAGGAGAGAGAGAAGAATCCCAAGCAGACTTCTAGCTGTCAATGCAGAGCCCGATGCGGGGCTTGAACTCATGAACCGTGAGACCATGACCTCAGCCCAAATCAAGAGTTGGGTGCTTAGCCAACTAAGCGACTCTAGGTGCCCTAGCATGTCCAGATTTTTAATTTTTTAATGTTTATTTTATTTTTGAGAAAGAGAAAGAGAGAGCACAAGTCGGGGAGGGAAAGAGAGAGAGGGAGACACAGAATCCGAAGGAAGCTCCAGGCTCCAAGCTGTCAGCACAGAGCCCGACACGGGGCTCGAACTCACCAACCGTGAGATCATGACCTGAGCTGAAGCCGGACACTTAACGGCTGAACCCCCCGGGTGAAACCACCCATCAGAAACACATCTTAGGTCTTAGGTCAGCGTGCTCGTTGTCGCAAAACATCCCCTACCCCCTTCAGAGTTGCTGGTTCCAATTTGCTTGTGAGCTAGGAACGCAAAGACCCAGACCGTAAGGAGGGTACAGAAAACACGGGCGAACTGGCTTCGAATGAGGGAGATGGAAACGCTCTCCTTTGGGTAAAGTGAATGACGCCCGGAACACGGACACCGCGGCAGCTAACTGGCTGCTTGCGCGCCCTGTGTTTGGGTTGGTTTCCGGAAACCTGAGGTCATTGGACGAGTGGTCCCTGGATGGGGAAAACGTTCCTGCACTTCCTTCTTTGATTAAATACACACAGAGCTACGGAGCCTGCTTCAGGACGGACTAACCACAGCTCTTACACACAGCCCCGACTCCTTCAAAATGGCGCGTCCACTTGGCAGGCACCCATGGGGCCTCTCCTTGTCTTGTTCCAAAGTAGCTGTAAAGACGATGAGGGGGGAAGAAAAAAGAAAAAGAAAAGAAAAGAAAATTCACACTAATGCCAGAAACCAAACTGATAGATGACCCAAGCTGAAATCTGGGAGCAATCTCTATTAACTAAAGGCAGATGGTGGGGGAACAAGAAAAATGTATTCCGGGTTTTACCTCGAGATGCAGCCTTTTGTCTGATGAACAGAAAGATCCTGAAAAAAGAGAGGACGCAGGGGCAAACCCACCAGAAAACAAAGGGGCAGGAAGTGGGTGGGGGCATTGGCGGTGGTACCCTCCTCCAGGGAGAGGGACCTTTTTTTATTATGTTTTATTTTTGAGAGAGAGAGCATGCACGCACAAATGGGGGAGGGGCAGAGGGAGAGAGGGGAGAGAGAATCCCAGGCAGACTCCACACCCTCAGCGCAGAGCCCTATGTGGGGCTCGAACTCATGAACCCATGAGATCATGACCTGAGCCAACGTCAAGAGTGGGATGCCCAAGCTGACTGAGCCACCCAGGGGCCTCTGAACTTGCATTTTTATCAAGATCAAGTGCAGAGAACGAGGAGACCAGGCAGTGCAGACAGAAGGATGCCATCTCTACAGAGCAAAAGTGAATGGAGGGAAAACACTGAGGTGGGGGGCCAGGGAGTGGGGATGGAGCTCCAGGCATGCCCCCTGCCATCCGGCTTGGAGCTGAGATGGAAATCCAGCTGTCACACTAGCAGAGGGATCTGCATGTTTTTTCTTCTTGCAAAGTGCCAAACAGAAAATATTTTAGGCTTTGCAGGGTATACACTCTCTAGCACACATATTCAAACTCTGTTGCCACAGCTCAAAAACAGCCATAGACAGCATGTAACTGAATGGACACAGCAGGCTAAAAACAATCTAAGACGACACTGCCTCTATGCAGTTGGAGACAAAAGCGGTGAGGGAAGACCACGCTGAGCCGAAGTCGTACCCTACGACAGTACAGAGTGTGACACAGGAGAGAAAGAACAGCCGGGAAACCCAAAACCTAAAAACTCAGTAGCACAATTAACACCCACTTTGGCATTGGTGAGATCGAGTCCTATGTCAGACTCTGTGCCGACAGCATGGAACCTGCTTGGGATTCTCTCTCTCTCTCTCTCTCTCTCTCTCTCTCTCTCTCTGTCTGTCTGTCCCTCCCATGCTTGCGGTGAAGAAGGGAAGGGGAGGAAAAGAAAGAAAGAAAAACCTGCTTTGGAAATAGTAAAAATAAATGATACTGGAGAAACCAGAC